AGAAGGATGTCATGCTTGGTAGGGTGGAGGGTCGACAAAAGAAGGGGAGGCCTTCAACGAGATGGATTGATACGGTGGCTGCAATGATAAGCTCAAGTATAGCAGGGATTGTGGGGCTGGCACGGGATAGGGCAGTGTTTCGTTCTGCTGTGCATGGGGTCGCTATGAGTCGGAAACGACACGACGGCACTTAACAACAACAACAACATAGGTACTGCAAGGCTGTGAATCTTCACAGAAGCGTCTGACACATCTTTCTCCCATGGAGTAGTTGATGGGTTTGAACTGCCAACCTTTTGGTAAACAGTTGCGTGCTTAACTATTACTCCTTCAGGATCACCAGGGATACTTTTTTTAATACAGGTTTCAAGGCCTCATCACAAATCTACTCAGTTTTCCAGGAAAAGTCTATCTTCTGGTGCCATTACTCTATTCATTTTTACTTTCTCTGTATTCTCCCAAGGAGCTCTGCTGGTGCCATGGGCAGGGCATCTGACTGCTAACCAGAACATCAATGGTTCAAACCTATTAACTACTCTATGGGAGGAAGACAAGGCAATCTATTTCCATAAAGATTTACAGCCTTGGAAACCCTACAGGGGTCGCTATGTCTGAATCAATTTGATGATTGTGGTAGTTAAGATTGTGTGTCAACCTGGCAGGGCCTGGTTTTGAGTAGCTAGGCAACTGGATGTCGTTGTTCCCCATGATGAGAGCTGTAATCATCTCCATGGTGGAATCTACTGGGACAACTTGAGCAGCTGTCTTAGGGATGTGGTCTGCTTCCAGCATAGAAGGAGCAGCTTTGAGAAAGGTCTCTGAGCTTTCTGGCACACTTGAACTCTGCATGTAGCTGAGTCTTCATTCAGCAGCCCACCATGCTATCTGCTGATCTTGGGACTTGAACTTTTGGACTTGAAGTAGTGGCCTGCTATGTTGCTTAATAATCTTGGGACTGTGTCATTTATTTCTCAACCTTAGGTTTGTTGGCCTCAGGAGCCAGCAAGTGCCTGAGTTAAGAGAAGCCTCCAGCTTCAATGGGCCAGGAGCAAGTGGCAGAGCTGAAGGCCAAGGTCAAAGGACCTTCACTCAGCCCTTTAGAGCTAGCACATGAACTCAGACTTCTAGCCTCCTAAACAGTGAAAGAATAAATCCCTGTTTGTTCAAGACATATATTTGTGATGTATGTTACAGCAGTACTAGGTAACCAAAACAATGACAGTGGGTGGGTACTCTCCTAAACCAGAGTGTTAGTACCTTTGACAGAAAATGTAATTAATTTTAGCAGTGATCCACATTCCCACAAATCTTTCTCAACTCTCAATACGTTCTGATAAGACTTATTTTAGTTCCAAATGGGGATCTATGTATCCCAAACTGTATTTATAAACAGAAGTGGAGTTTTGATTGTTGCTTCTACTCTTTTTTTTTCCTAGTAGTACACACATTCAAAAGTTTTACTTCATAGATTAACTAAGGCCCAGGCAACAGGTCAACAACCAGTAATGTACTTAGTTAAGATTCTAACTATAACTGCTTCATAAAATTTGATTTAAAAATAAGGAACTAGGAACTGGACAAGAGTAAGATCTCAGCCTCTCATTAGCAGGTATTCTTGACCTCAAATTAGAAACTTACTATAAAAATACTGAACTTACCTCTCCAAAAACCTGAGCTATCCCCTTCTTCAAACTTGTTATGTAAAAAACCTATACAAAATATCAAATGAAATTTGTAAATTGTTGAAAATAACAATTACCTATGCCTATGGATTTTTTAAAAAAAGAAACACCTTAGAAAAACTGGTAAGTTATGATGTCCTTTCAAAATAAGATAAACTTCATGTAAATGTACATAATAAATTTTGGGAGAGAACTCATACAAGCCGTAATACATTTTGTGCCTCATATAATTTATCGACTCCCTTAAGTTCAAAAACAATTTCCTTTTCAGCCAATTTTGTATTACCTCAAATGTCTATAATAAAATAGGGCACTGTATATTTTCTGTTCAAATACCAAAATTTTGCAAACTAACTCATAATCTTCTCATTTGCCAGAGTATAACACAAGTGAACGATAACCCATTATGCAATAAATTTTCCCCTTTCAGTAACAAAAAACTTCATCCTGCTACCTTCTTTATCAAATTAAAAAAATAAACTTTCATCAAGTCCTGCTTTCAAATTTCTCATTTAATAAAAGGCTATGTCTAGATTTATGTGTCTCTTTAACATAGTCCATATCTCTAAAATGCATCAGTAATATTTCATAATATTTAAAACTCTTGAACCTTAATAAAATGACTTTTAATATAAAAATATTCAAGGAATATATATGTACTTTAAAAGTGCCAAATACAGAATGCCTATCAACAATATTTAATCTTAATTATAAAATACTGAAACATGTTTTGGCTTCTTTAAAAAAAAGAACAATTATTATTTCACACATGTTAAATTTACACATAAATTGTATACGTATCAAGTCGCTTAACACCTCAGATTCAAAACCTGAGGCCTCTCTATACCCTCAATATGTAACTGGATGACAAAAAATGTTTTTCCTTGACAGATAAAGAAGTCTCATTTCAAAATATTTAAAGATAATCCCTAAAGGTACAGTGTATTATCACAAAACCTAAGTCTTGAATTATTTTCTTCATTTAAATATTTGCAACCTTTGAATTTTCTTCAGTGAAGGACAATATTCTACTGCCCTCCACAACCACTCCCATAATACTTCCCTGTCTAAGAAGAGTCAGTGCTGGGTTTCCAAAATGCTTGAGAAAATCTTCCATCTACATGCTATTGGTTTTGATCTTTGTTATGTTATGTGCTGTCGAGTCGGACCCAACTCATAGTGACCCCTCCTTGGGTTAACTCTGCCTAAATTTTGATGTACAATTTTCTAAAACTTTAAGGAAAAAATAAAATTTCAGTGCTTCTGTTTCTGGTTTTTGCTCAAATAAAAATGGAGACCCAAATTCACCTTTGGCGGTGTAAGATGGTTATCTTGTTTGAGGAAGGGGGATTCTTGAGTAAACTAAGAAAGAACTAAGCTTCACATGTGGAATGAGTCAATATGTAGTGATGCTGCAGCAAAGAACATGGCTATTTAAAAAAAAAAAAAAAAACAGCCAGATGGAACAGCAGACACACCCAAAGCAGTATCAAGTGATGTGTTAAATTATGTCCAGAAAAATAAAAATGTACATACTTTTCATGTTCAATAAAGGAAAATATGAACACAAGAAAATGGAAAATACTGGATCACTCAAGTTTTAACTGTAAGGTATCATAAAGAAGTAATTACCTCTGTTTCCAAAACCCTTTCCAACTCCAAAACCACCCATTGTGGATGGATTCTCTCTTTTATTAGACTCACCAGAATCTGAAAGAATAGATAAGAGTTAAACTCTTTAACAAACAAAATTAACAGCATCATCAAACACTAGATGTGGTACTTAAATTTGTATGTCAGCTTGGCTGGGCCTGGTTGAGTGGCTGGGCAGCTGGAGGTAGTAGTCCCCATGATGAGACTGGTAATCTTCTCCATGGTGGAATCTACTGTGAGCAGCTGAGTAGCTGCCTTAGGGATGTGGTCTGCTTCCTGTATATAAGCGGATGCCTTGGGGAATGGTCTCTAGCTTATGGCACGCTTGGAGCCTGCATGTAGCCATGTTGCTCTTCAGCAGCCTGCCATGCTCTGCCCACCTTGGCACTTACAATGGACTTCAAATTAATGGCCTGCCATGTGGTTTGGTAACATCGAGACTGTGCCATTTTATTTGTTGACCTTAGGCTTATTAGCCTCAGCAGCCAGCAGCTGCCTGAGTGAAGACATGCCTCTAGTTTCAGTGGGTCGGGATCAAGAGGCAGAGCTGAAGCCCAAGGTCAAAGGGCATTCACACAGCCCCTAGAGCCTGGTACTTTGAACCTGGACTTAAAGCCTCCAAACTATGAAAGAATAAACTCCTGTTTATTAAGGCCATCTTATTTGTGGTATATTCTTGTCACAGTGGTACTAGGTAACCAGAACACTAAAAATTGAATAAATCTGGGAGAAGGGGACTTCCAAGGATGAAGAAGGAGTGGTACAGGAATTAGCACTTAGTACTCTCTTAATGTTTCTACTTTTTAAAATTAAAATTAGGACAAGATTACACAAAGAAAGAAGAAAAAGCTATGACCACTATTCCCTTTCACCTATCCATCTCTCCACAGATTTCCCCACACTAATTTTCTTAGCTTTATCTCCAACTACTTAACTCTGAACACTAAACATGTAATTCGTGCCAAATAACTCTCCATATTCAACATTCTGTGAACTTTAAATACTTTGTACCTTTTCATATGTTGTTTCTTCAGTCTGGTATTCCCTGCTTTCCTATTTTTCCTATCAAAATTCTATTGACTCCAAAATCCTACTTCAAAGTCTTCCCTGCAGCTCACCAGTCAGAATTAATTCTTCCTCCACATTCTCTCTTTTTAATAATATTCTGTGTATTTATTTACCACAGATTAAATGAATTTTCAGGACAGAGATGTTGCAGCAAACCTTTACTTTTTTTTTTTTTTTAAAGCAGTATCTGTGAGGCATAATAAAGTATGGTGTTCCTATACCCTTGAGTACAGGGGAAGTTAAAGAAATCTGTGAAACTCCTAAAACCATATGCAAAATAGCCTATGTGCAACTATGATTATTTTCATCAGATTCTAAAGATGTGCATAATTCAGGCAGTTAAGGCTATTTAGTCATATATCACAGGATATGAATGTTAATCAATGCTATTATTATATTTCAAGCATTTAAGAGTCAACTTTAAAAATATTACCAGTGATGTAAATTCTGCTGAGAAAAAAAAATCACAGAAATTCAAACTAAAAACATTACATGAATCATAATGAAAAATAAATCATACTCATGGTCTTAAGAATTTCCAGAATTAAGAAAAAAAAAGAGGGGGGACCAGGTTTGCTGGTCCGGTACAGCCTGGTGGAACCACTGAGACTATGGGCCCTAGCTGCCCTTCGGGTCTGGAACTGAACCCATACCTGTGGTTTCTAGCCAAACAAAAGATAGGCATATGAGCTGAACATTTACCTCAAGTAGATACACTCCTTGGAGAGAACAATCATGAGAGAAAGAAGGGCTGCTTATGCACAGGGAGACAGCTCAGGGGGCAGGAGTGCATGGAGGGATGGACACAGGGAAGAGGTAACTATGGGGAGGAAGTGGGAAGGGAGCTGTTGCATTGTGGTAAACTGTGGTCAATGTCATGAGACAAAGTATATGTGAACTGCTGTACAGAAAGTAAATTTGCTCTGTAAACCTCACCCAAATCACAACTGAAAAAAAAAAAAAAAAAAAAGAATTTCCAGGATTATATGTAGTCTGGTAACATAGTGCCTAAGGCACTTGACTGCTGACCAGAAGGCTGGCAGTTTAAACCCATCAGCCACTCCTCAGAAAGAAGGTTGGGCAATCTACTTCCATAGTGATGATGTTGTTGTTGTTGTTATGTGCTGTCGAGTCAAACCCGACTCATAGCGACCCCTCCTTGGGTTTCCGAGGCAGTATCACTACGGAAGTAGGATTGCCCAACCTTCCTTCCAAGGAGTGGCTGGTGGGTTTGAACTGCCAGCCATCTGGTTAGCAAGCGTCTTAGCCACTATGCTACCAGAGCTCCCTCCATAGTGATACTGTCTCAGAAATCCAAGGAGGGGTCGCTATGAGTCGGGTCCGACTCGAAGGCACATAACAATAACAACAACAAGATAATTTTTTTTTTTTTAAAGTATAGATACTTAACAAAGAGTTCTGGTCAGAAGTTTAAAGTATATTTCAACCTAAAACATACACAGATAATTTGCAATGAAATGTGTCTCAGTGAGTTTCCTCACGGACAAAGGCTTTATTCAACAATGTTTACAAGTATGTATTAAAAAGTACCATACGAGCTATTCTAAAACAAGGTTTTAAAATATATCTAAATACTAAATACTTGCTGAGTGTAACATAAGGTATTATTTCTAATGCTAGTTTAAAAAAAAAAACTAACAAATCTAACATAACCCACATTTGAATCTCTTAACACAGGGTTTCTGAGGCTGTCAATCTTTACAGAAGCTAACTGCCACATTTTTCTCCTGGAGTGGCTGGTGGGTTCAAACCACCAACCTTTCTGTTAGCTATAAAGCACTTAACCACTGCACTACCAGGACTTCTAATACTAAAACATAGTGCAGAATTTTTCAGCATTTTAATATCAAATCTAAGAATTGGTTGTTAGAAGGTACTCTGCTTAGCTATTATCTGTGAAATGAAGTAATGTTTGCTCTAAGACTAACAACAAAAAATTCCAAGTTTGGGAAAATCACCTCTTAACCTTAGTACTAACGAGCTAACAAAAGTGCCTGCCATATTGCCTTTTCTTGAGATACAGCAAAATTTATAAAAGGAGTCCTTCTCAACCTAACCTCTGAAGGCTTTACTAACATTGTTCCCATGCCAATTGTTGGAAATCAACAATCAAAAACACATCAAGGAGCAGCTCTGTCAATCAACTACTTCTAACCAATGTATCTAACCAATCTGTCTCATCGATTCAGCTAGCTAACCGATCTGAAAAATGACAAATTCATTATCCCAACAAAGTGTAATCTGAGTTATAACAGATTTAGCTTTGCATGAACCAACACAAAAGCCAAAATTTTTTTCTACTACTTACCTCTATTCCCCAAACTCCTTCCAGAAACAAATCCACTGCTCATGAAATGATCTCTTCGTGGACCATCATCCATTTCTAAAGCAAGTAACATTTTGAAGTCAGTCAAACAAAAACAAGTATCTCTGTGATAATTGATCCTTTTCAATGTGCCACATATGGTAAATGAGAAATTTTATATAGTAAGAAAAATAGGCTATGAATATGAATTGGTAGTTCTCTAAAATAAAAATAAATGAAGACTAAATCTTACTCATTAAAGAATGAAAGAAATTGGAAATAAAAACAAAGAGATAGCATTTTCAATCACATGAATGATTAGAAAAGTTAGTGTAGTGCCTAAGGCACTTGACTGCTCACCAGAAGGCTAGCAGTTCAAACCCATCAGCCGCTCCTTGGAAGGAAGGTTGGGCAACCTACTTCCGTAATGATACCACCTTGGAAACCCAAGAAGGTGTCGCTATGAGTCGGGTCTGACTTGACAGCATATAACAACAATATCCGGAATAGTCAAGGATATAGGGAAACAAGCACAAATTACACACTTACTGAGATTACAGATTGGATTAGTCTTCATTCTAATTTAAACTACATCTACTTTTTGAAAGTACACTAATAGGGATTCATCCCCTGGAAATGCTCACATGGTAACACAGATATAAGAACATTTCTATAAGCATTGTTTGTAATGGCAAAAAGCTGATCACAGAAGAATAAACTATAGTCATTCATATAATGGAATACTGAATATAGAAGTATACAGCATAAAGAATTGATATTCTTTAACAAGAGACTGGATGTTTATAAAAATTGATTATATAAAAAACCACAAAGCAAATTTAACAAGAAATTTAAAAATCAGTACCATATACACAAACGTCTCTAATCACAATCAAATTAGAAGCATAGTGCCTAAGGCACCTGACTGCTAACCAGAAGGCTGACGGTTCAAACCCACCAGCCACTCCTCGGAAGGAAGATGGGGCAATCTACTTTCATAGTGATACTGCCTTGGAAACCCAAAGAGGGGTCACTATGAGTCGGGTTCAACTCGAGGGCACATAACAACAACAACAAATTAAAAATTATTTAAAATTCTCCTATATTTGGAAACATAGTTTGAAAAACACTTATAAACAACCCACAACTCAAAGAAAAATATCACAATGGAAATTTTACAGTACTGAAAATTATAAAATAAAAATGTTACTTACCAGTATACGAATTCTTAAGTTAAAATATAAGCATCTAAAATTTAGCCATCTCACACCTACCCAACATCTAGGGAGAGGCACCCCCTAGATCTATCAGCCATGAGACATCCAAGGGGCAGCAATCACAAAAAGGTAAAAGCTGGACAGACAGGAATGCCTAAATAAGAAGTGGAAGGGGTAATCACAGAAAGGAAAAGGGAGGAGAGCTTTTTATGGCTGGGGATTGTAATTGGGGCGGTGAAATCAAATGTGCACGAACTGTTCAGAGTAAAACGAATCTGCTTTGTAAATCTGCACCAAAATCACAATTTTAAAAAAACTGAAAATAAATTTCAGCCATCTCAATAAGAATATTAGAAGAAGAACAAAGTAAGTTCCATGAATGTAAAATAGGAAATTAATAAAACTGAAACACAGAGGGGTTCAACAAAGCCAAAGCTGGTTCTTTGAAAAGATCAATAAAGGGGAACTAGACTGACAAATCTCTAGCAAGATTTATCAAGTTGGAGAAAAGAGAGAAAAGGCACAAATAAACAGTACTAGGAATTAAAAACTCTGAATTTCAGGAAAAAACGAAATTATTTATTATGAATAACTTGTCACTAAATCTAAAACCTGAAAAGAAATGGATTAAGTTCCTGGAAAATTAATTTATCAAATCTGACTCAAGAGACAGTTTTTTTTTTTAAAAAAAAAAATCATTGTTCTATAACCTTTAAAGAAATGGAATTAGTACCAAGTCACTACAGAAGGGCCAGATTTAGTTTTATAGGTGATTTCTACCAATGTTATACAATTCTTCCAGAAAATAGAAGCATTATTCCAGAAGGCCAAGAACACCTTGATATGACAAGGACAGAGAAACATTATAAACCTCTTTCACTCATAAATACAGATACAAAATCTGAACACAATTATTAGCAAACCAAACCCAAGAGTGGACAGAATTGACCAAACATTACGATTAAGTTGAGTTGATCCCAGTACACTGTATTAGGCTGGATTCTCTAGAGAAGCAAAACCAGTAAAGCTTAGAGAGAGAGAGAGAGAGAAAAAAAAGTTATCTTGGAAAAATGGCTCACATACAGTTATAGAAGCTGGCAAGCCCCAAGTTGCTAGATCAAACGTCCAATTGGAGGCTTTTCCTGACTCACATAGCTGCAGGGACTGACAAGATCAAGGTTGGTAGTCAGTATACTGACTGTTGACTCCAGCAGATGAGGAATCCAACATCACCTGGCCAAACGGTGAACTGTTCACTCATGACATCCTTCTCCAAGGAATGGTCTCTTCTGACAACATGACCAAAATAGGTGAGACAAAGTCTGGCCATTCTCGCTTCCAAGGAGCATTTTTGGGTGCACTTCCTCCAGGACAGATCTGTTAGTTCTTTTAGCAGTCCATGGTACTTTCAGCATTCTTCGCCAGCACCACAACTCAAAAGCATCAGCTCTTCTTCAGTCTTCCTTATTCATTTTCCAGCTCTCATATGCATATGAGGCGATTGAAAATATCTTGGCTTGTGTCGGGCACACCCTAGTTCTCAAGACGACATCTTTGCTCTTCACTTGAAAGAGGTCTTTTGCAGCCAACTTGCCCAGTGCTACACATCACCTGATGCCCTGACTGCTGCTTCCATTGGCGTCGATTGTAGAACCAAGCAACATGAACTCTTTGACAACCTCAATCTTTGACAACCATTTATTGTGATGCTGCTCATTGGTCCAGTTGTGAGGATTTTTGTTTTCTTTATATTGAGACATAATCCATACTGCAGACTGTATTCTTCAACCTTCATCAGTAAGTGCCTCAAGTTATCCTCACTTTCAGCGAGCAAAATTGTATCGTCTGCGTATCTCAGGTTGTTAATGATTCTTCCTCCAATCCTGATGGCATGTTTTTCTTCATATAGTCCAGCTTCTCGGATTATTTGCTCAGCATATAGATTGAATAAGTATGGGGAAAGGATACAACCCTGATGCACTCCCTTCCTGATTTTAAACCATGCAGTGTCCCCTTGTTCCGTTCCGTTCAAGTGCTCGGGAATTCCCATTCTTCTCAATGTTATCCATAATTTGTCATGATCCATACAATCAAATGCCTTTGCATAGTCAATAAAACACAAGTAGACATCTTTCTGGTATTCTTTGCCTTGAGCCAAGATCCATCTGACAACAGCTATGATTATCCCTTGTTCCACGTCCTCTTCTGAATCCAGCTTGCACCTCTGGAAGTTCTGTCACAATATACTGCTGCAACCGTTTCTGAACTATCTTCCGTAAGATCTTACTTGCGTGCAATATTAATGATATCGTTCTATGATTTCCACAATCTTTGGAATGGGTACAAATATGCATCTCTTCCAGTCAGTTGGAAAACTGCCAATGGAAAACTACAGCAACTCAATTACACACACACACACACACACACACCAGAAACAGGCCACACTTCTAGTAGGAAAACTCCCTTTCAACAGATTGACTGCTCAAAATATATATATCCAATTTCATCATGGGAATAACCACATCACAACTGCTTAAACCACTCAGAATCATAGTCCAGCCAAGTTGACATACAACCCCAACTATCACAGTCCACCCCTGGTCAACTTGGCAGTTGTACACATCTCCTTAACCACATATAATCTCTAAATAAGGAAAATGATAAAGTCTCATTTGTGTCTAATAGGATACACTAACATGCATACATTAACCCTGTTTACATTTCATACTTCATAACAGAAGAAAACAAAAATATTTGATGCACACATACAATGAAGAAATATAACAATCACAGTCCTCATTTCTGTGGTGACAGGGTTGAAGCTGATATTCAGAACTACCTTCTTCCACCACCCATTTCGTATTTCCCTTGCCCTCACCAAGTACTTCAGCTGGTCATGGTTCTTTGCCTGGTGGGGTGACCCAAATCTTCATTCCTGAAGGGTCTGGGCCATTAGTAGTCTTATCAGAATTGAGTTGCTGAAGTTTTGCATTGACTTTAATAATCACAGGGCATGGTAGCACTAAGAGACATCCTAAAGAATCTCCTATATTCCAGATATATTCTTCTTTACTGTCATTATGTAATGTCAATCCAATTTCCCCTTGGTAATCTGGATCTATCACACCAGACAACACAGTAGCTCCCTTCTTTGTCTGTTGATCCAGAGGCATGAGGAAACCAAAATGGCCAGGTGGCATTCTTAACTTCCAGTTCAATGCAAACAGTATCATGCCTCCACATGGGAGTGTTCCTCCCTTTGGGACTAAGACCTACAGAGCATAGGGTAGTAGGGATAGGAAGCAAAAATTTTTTGAGTGGGTCACTAGGGGTAATAGTGAATGGTACCACTCTCATTTCCACCCCTTGGTTCTGGGACCCGTGAATCCTGGCTAATGAAGAAATAGTACCATATACTGGAAGCTGGTTTTGAGCATATACAGCCTTCTGGAGAACACTGGCCCAACCCTTCAAGATACTGCCACTAGCTGGTGCCATAATTTTTGTTTTTAGTAGGCTATTCCATTGTTCTACCAAGCCAGCTGCTTCAGGATGATGGGGAACATGGTAAGACCAGTGAATTCCATGTGTATAGGCCCAGTGCCACACTTCATTTGCTGTGAAGTGACTCTCTTGATCTGAAGCAAGGCTGCGTGGGATACCATGATGCTGGATAAGGCATTCTGTAAGTCCACGGATGGTAGTTTGGGCAGAAGCATTGTGCACAGGGAAGGTGAATCCATAGCCAGAATTAAGTATCTACTCCAGTAAGCACAAAACACTGCCCTTTCCATGATGCAAGTGGTCCAATGTAATCAACTTGCCACCAGGTTGCTGGCTGATCACCCTGAGGAATGGTTC